AACAGCCTTGACGGTGCCGACATCGATGGCCTGGGAATAGTCGCGGAGCCAGTTGCCAAAGTAGACGCGAGAAACGGAGAGCTTGTCGAAAGTCTTGCCGCCCATGGCGCGGGCCATGACGATTTTGAGGAGGGCATCTTCAATATCACCGTGGCGCCCTGTTTCCTTGATTAGCACCACCACTAACAACAGCACAAGCATATAGGTGGATTGAAACATACAGTTTTGGCCCTCGATCTTGGAGATACCAGCAATGTTACCGGCGCCAAAGGCCAAGGCGGGGCTGGCGAACAGGTAGATAACGAGGAACCCGAGAACGAATGGATAAGGTTTGAAGGTCGCCATCTTGGCTTCGTATGGTCGATAAGTGCTTTTACTGACTATACGGTGATTTTTTTGGGTTTTCAATCGAAAAGAAGGGAAAGGGGAAAAAGTCCAGGTACGTTTCAGGCGGTCGAGTCGCGCTGGGTCAGGTCTGTCGGCGTCGTCATCCTGTTAGCTGAAGTTAGGTACCGACCTAGCAAGTGAATGGGACGGAGTGGACACCGCGAAAGCTCCCCTCTCCCTAGCTCGACCCTTAATTCGCCCTCGCCCGCGCCGTCCTGGGAAGCGTACCATCTACTTGTAGGTAGTACACTACGTGAAAGATGATGGGATTTGCATTTTACATACCAAATGTGTATCTGTCGTCTGTGCTGGACAGGTTCTGAGGTAACCCCGCCGGTGGGTTTCAGATGAAGAAGAGGACGGAGGTGAATACTTTTCATAAAGATGGATTCTGTTTGCCTTTAACAGAAAATCGAAAGCCGGAGGCAACCAGAAAAGTTCTATCAAATGCAGTGCTCCAAGGTCAAGGAGCTGAAACCGCATGATGCTGATTCTTGCTAATACTGGACGGGGGTTCGTCGGCACATGTAAGGAGAGTCAGCCAACTACCTTTCATGCCGTACCAACCTCCAACCCATTTCCATCAAAGTGGCTAGCTAGCCCGGCACGGTTGTGAGACGGACGAGAACGAGAACCGTAGAACTGGAAGCTGATGGCGTTCCCGCTAGGTAGGTGTGTACATCAAATCATGCCATATTCCCGTCCTCAACTTCATTGTCCCCGAACGGCAACCGACAAACGCCGTGACAGCGCTTGTAGAACAACATCACGTCCACCGTCAGAAGCGCTCTTCTGGTTTCTCATTGACTTCTGTCGGCCGTTTCATCGTTCCCGACCGTCAACCAGCAATCCCAGGGTTGGGACAAGCGCTGCGCCCCCAGTTTGTTTCCGAGCAAACAAGCTTCCACCACAGCGGGGCACAGAGAGGGGCCCTTTTCGGGGTCGGTGCTGGGGCATGAGCGGAGAGGGGTTCACACGATGCGCAGACCATGGAGGGGTTTCCGCTGCATCAATCCAGTTCTCCGCTGTGAGTGGCTCAACGCCGGAGTGGAAGGAACACCCTCGTGCACCTGCCACCACCGTGGCACCCATCCCAAACTCCCGTTCTAGCGCCGTCCAGTCAACATCGTGAACCCCCGTTCCAACCAAGTCCTTCACCGTAGCCAACCATTCGTTCGATGGGCTGCAGTCACTTCTCCCAACCGGCAACCGCCAAACCGACCAACTGACAACCCGAGCTGCTACCGCTGGTAATTCACTCGAAGCGATTGTAATGGGTTTTGCGCGGCGCCTGCCGGGACTTCAAAGTCCTGAGGAGCGGGCCCCTTGTCACCTGTACAGTTGACGTTCAACGCAATGTTGACATTCCAAAGTGCGGAGAACCGAGGCTGGCAGCTGTCTGTCCATGCACGAGGATGCGAGTGGTACATGACCTTGGTGATCGGTCATCTCATTTCTATCTACAATGTTTCATCTGAGGATTGAGGTTGTGATTGAGCTTCTTCTGTAAGTTTAGTGTCTTTTGATTGTACTCAAGAAAAAGATGCTATCAAGCCATCCAAGCTGAGCAATTCTGGAGCTTGGACATGCTGATATCATCGTGGGTCGTGGCGGAAAGCCAAAGACTCGGTCGGGTAGTGCTATGAGGCAGTCCGTTTGTCGCATCATGGCGAGACCGCCCAAATATCTTTGCAGAGACTTTGGGATTCATAGCTAACCGGAACTCAAGCTTCCGTTGCAGACGGAAGAGACAACACAAACCAACGTCAGCCACTGAGTGCTCTTGGAGTTCATAGCCCTCTCGCTGATAGACGTTTCAGACATCATCTTCCAGGACCGCTGAATGAGACCGCGTCTTCCAGCGTCAAGGTAGAAAGGCGAGTGCCTGACCACTGCTAAGTTTGACTTACGGCTCCATTCGCTGGTTGGTGTTCCGCAACAACCTGGCGCCTTCAGCGGGTAAGCCTTTATGATGCCGGGCCGTGGATCACCTAGTCTAGGTTCTTGATTGAGTTGCCAGTTACCCGCTGCTTAGGACCGCCTACCAGGTAGAAGGTTTGTGTCGCTGTACATACCTCTAACGAGATATGGACATCAGCGAATGTATCCGATGAGCTTATAGCAGACGCTCATCCTGAAGATCCATAAAAGTTTCGGTGCCTCATTCTGCCCACATAGGCATTCTATGACAGAACCACCTTGCGAAACACAACACTGAAGATTCAGTTTTAAGGCTGAGACACATTGTTTGGGAAGAATCTGCTAACCTGCTAGAGTTCGACCGTTAATCCTGTGACGATGGAAAGAGGAAGAGAACTGGGAGTCCTCAATATTGCTACGGGATCCCACAATACGACCTTGTTTACAAGTGAACTTGGGAAGGCTGCTGGAGCCGTCAAAAGTGCTTAAGCATTCTACGGGCGTCGTCTTACGCCCTCGCGATATTTGGACGTGGGTGGGATGTGTGCTTGAGTCAAGGCAATGATTTCCATGGTTGTTCTACATGCAGTGTTGTTAGACCTAGCTAGGAGGAAGATTCGGAGTTCTGTGCATTATGAATACGCTGTTAACTGCAATAACAGGGCTCCTATGCCGCAATCATCGTGAACGGTGGTAGTGGTCATTCTCTTCTAGTGGCCTTACCAAAGTCCTGAACATTGCAACTGGATGGGATGTTGGGGCGAACTGAGGTCCTGGGGAGCAGGTGCAGTGATGGCGGGTGTGGGTGAGACCCGACGGGAGGTGGACACAGCCGGCTGGCTTCAAGTCGTCGTCAATCACTCCCAAGAATCACTGGGAGTGAGATCACTGCAGTGAGGAGGTGTTCCCTAGCGCCAATGCCAATGATACCTCGGGGTTATTGACGGGACTCCACAGCAAACCGGATGCCAGTGAAAATTCAAGCAATGCCCCTCTTCTCGCGCACCCTTGCTACTTTGGGATGTGGAGGCGTGGTAACAACACACTGTCGTGTCTCAAGGCGCTGAAGAGAAAGCGCGCTATGGGATTGGACGGCAAATGCATGCTCGCGTGCAACAACGAAGGCCTGCTGCCAAAAACACTGAGCCACAGACGCGTCGTCAGAGGTTTCAGCATCCAGAGCAGTCCAGTACCGCTGCAACACAGTGGTGTCTTTCAGATGCCAACAGCCCCGAGGACATGTTAACTTTCTTCAGACTTGTTAACATCATCATTTTGGCTGTTACAAAGACAGAATGACACTCACGCTGTACATCATGTTCTGATTTTCAGTAGAGGTAAGATCAGTAATTACCTGGGCTTTCATGATAAGAGAGAACTGAACCCCAAGGTAAAAGTGACAATGATCTGTGTACCTCTATGGCAGTGGGTGAAGAAGGTGGAGGCCACCTTGGAAGGTACATCTGTTAGTTCGAGTACATCAGAGACGGACACAGACTCTGTGAAGGAGAAGACCACCTCACAGATCTTGAGAGCATCAGCCTGAGAGAAAAGAGTTCAAGATGGGAGTTGTATGCCAATGTGGTAGTAACCCAGAGCCTTGTCCTCCTGGTTGCACCAGGCCTCTCTGTACGATGGTATCTCGTAGGTACCTCACAAGGACCGGATGTATTTGGCATTGGCTGTAGGTGTAGGTAGGCAGGTACCTATTGCGCGAGAACGGAGTAAAAGAGGGCTGGGCGAGTTTTGGTAGATGGAAACCTAATGCTTGCCCCGGAAACGCAAGTCCAATGATGGGGGTCTTCTGATTTCAATGCGTCTTCGCTGCACTTGCAACTCATCCTAGAGATTAAAACCAACCCTAGGTACCTAATGTACTGAAAATTCATATTCCCGCTCACTCAAGGCTTTGAGTGTAAGACGGAAGGGGCTCTATTAGAATCACTACAAGTCTTGTCTGCGGTGCGAGATACCTCTAGTGTTGCTCGTCAGCCCATGGATCCAGGACACCTCATGATCAGAACGCCTTGCAATCCATCATTCTTCTGCCCACCCCTTGTCTTCCATGTTGAGCTCGGGTGTCTGCTCCCGTTGCTCCAGGCTTGCTTGCCTGGCCTCCCGCCCGTTGCGGGCTGGGCTCTGTGAGGTGGTGTCGCTACACCTATCGCCTGCCGGGACTCCAGCTGCCCGCCCGCGGATGGAAAAGAACGGAGACCCAGTGGGCATTGCGGGGAGGGGTCTCTGATCCCCTTGTCCCATTTCCATTGGGGGGCGCCCAAATCAGGCTGCATCTCAGTGCACAAATTTTCTGGCCCGCCCAGTCTTGGGGGTAATCAGCGCTGAGTGCTGGGAACCCACGCTGCAGCTACAAATTTCGGTATCCCCCCGCATCCCCCAAAATTCGCCGCGAATTTTTTCCTCCCCTTCTCTCCGTTCATTTCCGGCGTCCTCATCCCCCAAGCACCACCCCCAAAGCACACAGCAAGCAGACGGCCGGGCACCACACACCACCCCGACCCCCCGGATTCCACCCACCGCCAACCTTTGCCTTTCAGCAGTTGCGCCCTGATACGACAGGCAGGCACCCACTCAGCCAGGAACCGTCCGAGCTTTCTGTTTCCATTAAAAACCCGCACCCGCGCCCGCACTCAAGCTTCCACCTGAGCCCTAACTGCTCCCCTACACCATCACTACCACCACCACAACACCGTCTGCCAGAGCCCACCAGCATCACTACCAGTACCAGCTATCCATCAACCAACCGCCATCATGCCGCGCCCACCCAAGAGCAAGGTCGCCGAGATCGTTAAGCCAGTCATCGCTGCGCCTGGCCCTGCGAGGGTCATTGACGTCGACAATTTCATCCGTGTCCGCGATTCGGTAAGCCTTGCACCTTTCAACATCCTATACCAGCTCTCCCAACCACAGCACCCCCCGTATCCTTTCCCCCATCCCACCACCAGAATCCCGGATTTGAAACCAATATGTCTGTTGTATGGTGCGCAATGGACATTGCACATAGACACAACTCCCTCAAGGCTTGATCACGCCCTGTCGCGTGGTAGGGGCCAAACTACACCAAACGTTCAGAGAGATGCACGCGCAGTCAACTACACGCCATGCTCCAAAACTGCCGAGTTTTCTTGCGAGATGATACCGAAAAGAAGATGTGTTACGCTTGAAACATGACTGGCTAACTCCTCCCAAGGTCTACCAACGTCTCTCCACCATCCAGGACTTGATTAAGAGCTTCAGCCAAGACTACTTGCGTCAGACCAACCTTCTCCTCGGAGAGGGCACCACTCTCGAGAATGGCGGTGATCTCGAGCACCTCCAGACCTCCTTAACCGGCATGCTCCCCGGCTTCTTGGTTGCTCCGCAGCCCATGGTCGAGGAGAAGAAGGAGCGCAAGAAGCGTACCCACGACCCCAACGCTCCCAAGCGTCCCTTGACCCCTTACTTCCTCTACATGCAGACTGCTCGCCCCATCATTGCCAATGATCTGGGCGAGGAGGCCCCCAAGGGTGCCGTTCAGGAAGAGGGCCAGCGCCGCTGGTCCGTTATGGGTGCTGCCGAGAAGCAGGGCTGGAACAACGCTTACCAGTACAACCTCCGTCTCTACAACGCCCGTGTGCACTCCTACAAGCACGGCAATGCCAACGCCAAGAACATGACCGATGACGAGGCCCTCAAGTATGCTGATGAGTATAATATCGAGATGCCCACTGCTGCTCAGGTCGAGGAGGTCCCCACCGACCAGGACGCCATTGCTCAGCAGCTGCAGCAGAACGTTGTGCCCGAGGTTTCTGAAGAGAAGGAGGAGCAGCAGCAGCAGCAGCAGCAGCAACCGGTCCCCGTTTCCAAGACCCCCATCAAGAAGAAGGACACCCGCAGGCGCAAGACTGCCACTCCCGCTGAGGAGGCCGAGCCCGCTAAGCCCGTGGTCGCCCCCGCCAGCCCAGAGAACAAGAAGCGCAAGCGGAATGTCAAGGCGGCTGAGGTGGAGGAACCTAAGAAGTCGGGGCGCAAGAAGACCAAGGCCTAGAAGCGCTCTTAATCCATCTCACGCTTGTCCCTTGCCGGGTTCTTTCATGATACCTCGTTGCAAACAACCTGGGTTGTTTTCCTTTTCATTTTCATTTCCGTTGTACGATACCCTCCCTCTATCAAAGGAATAAGGGGAGTGCGTATCCATGTCAACAAGCGCGGGTCAGCGTCATGGTTATTTTCTCTCTGTTAAAGTGGCGGTCTTTGGTTCACTTTACTTGTCCTGTATGATTCAATGAACGGCTAAAGAGGAATTGGTGGTTCTCCATCTAACGAAAACAAGCTCGAAACGGAAAATATGGGGTTAAGGATAAACGGAGTCTGCTCTTTTTGCGAAATTCGGCTGAAGATATGATATGAAGGCTGTCGCATGTTGTACTTATGGCGGTTAGCTCTACATAGCATGTATGGGCCCGGTGGATGAATGAATTTCAGTGTTCGAATAATGATTTGGTCTTTTTGATGCCGTGGGTACTGGCAGAGCAAAGAGGTCACCCTTTGGTTCACGGAGGATCAAATGGAGTTGTGTTTGTCTTTACGCGATGTTTAATCAGTATTATATATGCTCCTGAACTTGAGCTTACGATGCTTGATCATGTGATATCATATACATTGAGATGGTGGTGTTGGTCACAGGAAGAGCTCTTCTACATTGAATCTTAGCAACGGTACCATATGTGGATGGAGCGAGTCATCACGATTATCTGGAATTAACGACCGACAGTGGCATAGACCGAAAAAGAAGCAAGTCAAATCTCTTTAACTGCCGGAGTATACAATGACCCGTATGACTGCCTCCTCCTTCCCGCCTGGCAAAAACAAACTGTCCCTCAAGTTACCTCACTTCACTTCCCTTCTCCGTTCCCCTTTCTCTCAATAAACAAAATAACTCTGCGTCAATGGCAACTCGCTACTCGGCTCCGCCGTACACACCTCCCCGTCCGCCTCAACCGTATACCTCTCAGGATCGACCTTCATCCTCGGCATCCTCTCATTAAACTTCATATCTTTCTTGCCCACCGTTCTACACCCCTTCACCGCCTCCATCCTACTCTTCAATCCATACCCTTCAATCGCACCACTATCCAAGCTCGCCTGCGAAACAAACAGCACCTTGGACTTGGCCACCATGGGCGCAAACATGGGCCGCGCAATAACCGGCTGCACCGTCGGGATCGAGGCGTTGGGGTCGCCCATCATCGCGCTGGCGATTAATCCGGACTTGATGACGAGGGAAGGCTTGGTGCCGAACCAGGCTGGGTCCCAGACGACCAGGTCGGCGAGCTTGCCGGTTTCGATAGAGCCGATCAGGTGCGACATGCCCTGCGCGAGGGCCGGGTTGATGGTGTATTTGGAGATGTAGCGCTTCACCCGGTGGTTATCCGCGCCCCCGGTGCCTTGATCCTCCGGGAGGGGACCACGCTGGAGTTTGTTCTTGTGTGCCGTGTTCCAGGTGCGAAGAATGACTTCGCCGCAACGGCCCATGGCCTGGCTGTCGCTGCTCATCATGCTGATGGCGCCCAGATCGTGCAGCACGTCCTCGGCGGCGATGGTCTCGGCGCGGATGCGCGACTCGGCGAAGGCCACGTCCTCGGGAATGTTTTTGGAGAGGTGATGGCACACCATTAACATGTCCAGATGCTCGTCTAGGGTGTTGCGGGTGAATGGCCTGGTGGGGTTGGTGCTCGAGGGGAGGACATTGGGATGTTCAACAACAGAGATGATGTCTGGCGCGTGCCCGCCGCCGGCACCTTCGGTGTGGTATGTGTGGATGGTGCGGCCGGCGAAGGCGGCGATGGTCGATTCAACGAAGCCGGACTCGTTCAGAGTGTCGGTATGGATTAGACATTGCACGTCGAGCTCGTCACAGACGGTTAGGCAGGAGTCGATGGCAGCAGGGGTGGTACCCCAGTCTTCGTGCAGCTTGAGGCCGCAGGCGCCGGCGAGGATCTGTTCCCGAAGGGCGGAGGGGTCGCTGTCGTTGCCTTTGCCGGTTATGCCGATGTTGAGAGGGAGCGAGTCGCAGGCTTGAAGCATTTGGCGCATGTAATGGGCGCCGGGGGTGCAGGTGGTTGCGTTTGTGCCGGCGCTGGGTGGTGCAAGTTAGTTTCGTGATATGTTGACAAAAGGGGGGAGAAACAAGGGAAAGAGAGAAAGCTTACCTGGGACCAGTTCCACCACCAAGGAAAGTAGTGATACCAGCAGCCAGAGCCTCAGCCGCCTGTTGAGGGCAGATGAAGTGAATATGCGTATCAATACCTCCCGCCGTGATGATCTTGCCCTCACCCGCCACCACGTCCGTACAACTTCCCACAATCATGCCCGGCGTGACACCGTCCATTACATCCGGATTACCAGCCTTGCCAATGCCCACAATGACACCAGCCTTGACACCGATATCCGCCTTGTAGATGCCCGTCCAATCCACCACCAACGCGTTCGTCACCACCATATCCAGCGTCTCCTCATCCGACCTGCCCGTCGCCTGCCCCATGCCTTCGCGCAAGGTCTTGCCGCCGCCGAATTTACATTCGTCCCCGTAAACAGTGTAATCCTTCTCGACCTTGATCCACAGATCTGTAGCTCCCAGCCTTACCATATCACCCACCGTCGGGCCAAACATGACCGCGTACGCCCTCCGGTCCATGGTAAACGGCTCGCTGATGAATGCCGCCGCATCGCCCACCGGCTCCTCCGGCGCGTGGGCAAACCCGGCCTTCTGCAACTTGGCAATGATCTCCTCCGCCCTTGTCAAGTCAAGCTTGCCTGAGGCCAGGTTGTTGCCGCCCCTGATGACCTTGTTGCCGCCAATCTCCACCAGCGTGACCGTCTTGGTGTCGCCGGGCTCGAACCGCACCGAGGTGCCGGCGGGAATGTCCAGCCGAAACCCGTACGCCCGCGCCCTGTCGAACTCGAGCTGCGGATTCGTCTCGATGAAGTGGTAGTGGCTACCGACTTGGATCGGACGGTCTCCCTTGCTGGTCACACGAAGACGGATGCGTTGCCGGCCCTCGTTCAGCTTGACCTTGGCCTCCTTGACGCAGACCACGGCGCCGGGCTGCTTGCTGGCTTCGTAGGCGGCGGCAGGAGGCAAGGGGAAAACGGAGTCGTCATTGGGCGGGATCGGCAGGAAGCTGCCGTACAGGGCGCGAGCGAGGTCACCGTCGTCGCTGCTGATGGGGTTGTGCACGGTGACCAGGTACGTTCCGGAAGGGAAAGTGCCCTCGACTTGAATCTCGTGCAGGGTCGAGGTCACTTCGGGCAAGACGTGGCGGCGGCCGAGCATGGTGGCGCCCAGGGCCATGAGGTCGGCAACGGTGTGGTTGCCATCGCGTATGAGTTCTTGGAGGTTGTTGGCGATGAGCGCCTGGGTTGTTTGGTGAGTGGGTGTGTTATAGTGAGGCGAAAGTGAGAGGAAAAAGGATCTGGAAGAGAGAAACTTACAGTGGCTTCGGAATGGTTCAGTTTTATACCTCTTGCCAAACGTCTTTGAGCTAGGAATCCTAGCTGAGAGATGGCGAGCTTATCGAGCTGTCAAGGGGAAAGCAAGACATGATTTTGTCAATAGGTTAGTGATGCGGACTTGCTACTATTTGGGATGAATCCTTCTTATGAAGTTGTCACACTCCGAATAGAGTCCAGCCTAGTCACACAGGGTAAAGCAATGCCATCTTGCGCTTTTATACACACAATGTCGATCGATGTCCGTGACTCCTTCGTTTGTTTGAACCGTGATCTGAGGTGTCTTGGTCTCCTTGTAGAACGCAGATGTGAGGGATCAACGGGGGCACAACAAAACAACTACCACTAACCTCTTTGGGAATCAGATGCATCTTGTTCCTGTCGATGTTGACGAGAGTTTCGATCCAAGTTCGACAATGAACGAGGTCAAGAAAAAGAGAACAGTGACGTCCTCTGCCCCGATGACACTAACATCGAGGACTGCTACTAGTTTTAACCCCCGCGTGGTTCTGTACCAGCTGCTTATCAGTCCGCTTCCAACGTTCTAGATGCGACCGCGGTAAAAGACACCGACTGCGGTGGGATGTTGTCCCAGAGATTGCTGTACCCCGCACACTTTTACTGATAAGGCGGATATTGTTAGTAACAGCTCAGTATGTAACCTTTTCGTTGTTTACAACTCCAAAGGGCATCAGCAACGATGATAGGGGTAGCCACACTTACATTGACAAAGAAAAAGAAACACCATCTGTACCACGAGTAACGTGATGGATTGAGGATATTGCGTATGCGAATTTTGTCCTTGGATTTTGTTTCCAAGAAACTCATCTATACAGCAAGCTAATGATTGAATTTATTCAAACTCCAAACTCCTCCGACTCCCAAACTACCCCCTGAGAAATAAGAAAGTACATGTAGAACGCTTCGAGGAATACTCTTTCCCTGCCCCAACATATGTAACCTGCCATTTGCGACCTCGACACTGTCTACCAACCAAGACCAGGAATACGTCTATTGTACGCCTTTGCCTCCAACTCCGGCAACTCCTCTTTCCCCCTAGCCAGCGCCTCCCGCACACGCTCATTCTCGACATCCCTTATCTTATTCCTCGCCGATTCCAGCCTTTCAACTCCCCTATCAATGGTTTCGACATGTACATATAGCGGTATCTCAAGACCAGCATCCCTCGCCACCTCCGGCTCTCCAACCCGGTCTCTTAGCCCGTTCAGGCTGACCTGAATGTTCTGCAGCTCAACAATGAGTTCGCTGACCTGTTTCACGGCTTCCGAGCGCTGGTCCTCAACCTTCCTAAGCAGCGCCAGCTGGTTGTTGTAGCTCTTGCGGTTCTCGGATTTGATGCCGATATAGGTCCACAATTCCCAAAAGACCTCCTCCTTCTTCGCCTGTATATGTTCCTGAGTTCTAGTCACGAAATCGTATATGACTTCGAGGTGGTCTTCTGCCCTCTGCAACGTAATCAGGACGGCTTGCGCTTCCCTTATCAGGTTGGCAATCTTGTCCGAGACGCGGATCGTGTGGTCGATGTACTGGTCCAGAAGCTTGCGCTCCGTGTAGGTGGATGGCTGAAAGGGGGAGAAGACCCAGTCCCACCACTCGCCCAAGATGCCGCGGTGCTTCATGTCATCTGATAGTTCATCAATGTACCGAGATGTCCATCGGTTGACGCTGATTATGGAATCTATTGTTGATCCCACGCGGGTGTTGAACCTTTGAAGATCCCAAGTTGCCGAGCTTGCGGCGTCGATGTACCCGTCAAATTCAAGTATCAGTTGTTCTTTGCCGTGAAGCTGGCTGTAGCGGACCATGGTACGTAGGTCACGGATAGCTAGCTCGGAGCGCTTCATCTCCAAAGGCAGCGAAGCACTTTCGGCAGCTTTTTCTAGAACCCCCTCAAAGCGATCCTGAATCTCTATTACAGGGTCGAACTGGATGTGCGTGTTTGTTTTCGCAGACATATCGAGACAGAATGGCAGGTTGAGCCATTTTGCGCCTGGTACACGACATACTGGTGATAAGGCCGTATAGAGGGATAATGTCGCCATGTTCTGGACCATCGAAAGGAGTCCAAAGATGAGATATACAGATACCAGAATGGCGATGGGTTTTTGCGCATATTTGAACGCAAGGCCAACGACTCCCAAGGCCCAAGAAAAAGTGTTGAATACGGCATCCGGTACCGAGTCGAAAAATCGGTCAAAAAACCCCTGAATCTCTGGCGCCTGTTGTCGTTTTGATGTCCCAAGTCTAGACCTCCTCATTTCTTCGACCCTCTCTTCAATATCCGCATTGACTTCGGTCTCCTCCCCTGACGAATGATGATCCTTACGGAAGTCTGTTGATGGGTGACGGCCGGAACGATGTGTTTGTCGGTGGCGTAGACCAGGCAGCGAAGGCGGAAACTGTCGCACTGTCATGGACGACCGTGCACTGGATCGTCGGCTGTCGACAAGTCTGCTATCGACATCGACCATGGGCATGTAAAACTCCTGTGGTGATGGCTGAATCCGATGTCTCATGTTTTCGCGAGAAGCGTGCCGGACAGATTGTGGAATTGAAGGCCGGAAGGGAGTTCTCATGATGACTTGATCGTCGTCCTCGGCTCTGTGTAGGAAACTCTCGAGACTCTCGTCCTGTGACCCTCCTATACTGAATGGCTGAGATCCGTCCAAACTGTAGGGCTGGCTCCCGTCTATATGCGAGTGATCGCTTTGGCTGGACAGGATCATATCGTTGCCATCATAATCGTCGGGCATCAATGAGGTGTCGAAGCTATCATTCTCGCCTCCCTCGACCATGCGCCACGAACTCGATACATTGGGCGGCTGCCCTGGTGGTTGACGTCCCGACATGGTTATATAAACACCATGGAATGAGCTCGTGGGGAAGCTATGATAAGAGTTGCGAAGTCAAGGTTTTATAGTAATAGGATCGCGATAACATGGAGCGTAAAGATCCAAGGACGTCGGGATTGTTGGTTGATGTGTGTGAACTTTTAGGCAACAGTGCTTCTTGTAGGTGTCCTGATTTGATTTGATTGTTGACAGCGGGGGAGCTCGGCCAATTCTTAACCGCAACTGATAACTGGTTCTTTGTTTACCGTGAAGTCGATGCCAGGCTTCAAGTCGCTCAAAAGCAAGGGGCGCACAGACTAATACCGTGTAGAGGAGTCACGATAAGGCACCGATACAAGGGGATAAGTGGTGAAAACGGAACTATCAGCTGAGGCGCGCGAGATCAAAGGTGACTGTTCCGCGGCCACAGGATGTATAGAAGAACAGGAGAGATGGGTGTGTTCTTTGATAGTCCAGCAAATAGCCTTGGAGAGATGAGGCTGAGTAAGATGTCGTTGAACCAAGCAACTGGAATGCGACGGAAATGGACTAGGTGAAGGTGAAACTGTAGGGTAGGCGGAGAAGAGAAGGGAGAAGGCAACTCAAAGTCAAGTCAAGGTGGTGTAAGGTACCGATGCACGCTGCTAGGTACAGTGTGTGTATGTGCCGCAGCGCATATCCTGTCACAGGACGGGATGATGTAAAGAAAGAAAGAAAGAGTTCTGGTGACCTTGCTTTGTATCGTCGACTTCAGTCGGCCACAGAGAGCAGCAGGACGGTGACTCGGTGAACATCGAAGTGGTGAGTGACGTCGAGAAGAATCACGATTCATGGCCAGCACCGCGTGTCTCACTTACACCTTGAGGTACCTATCACCTCAAGTCACCTGCCCCCGCCCGGCAGACAGGTGCCCCACTGAGGTGTGTTGACGGCAAACGGCCCCGAGCCGGGGTTCAGGTAAGTTGGAGGGCTGGCCCAGGGCGGGGACCCCTTGCAGCGGCAGGGGCACAATGGGATGAGCCGATCGCTATCGCCAAGACAAGCGCGACAAAGAAGCCAGCCGCCCGACCTAGCTTCCATTCTGTCTGGAAAAGTCGGGTTTGCCGTGATCACACCCAATTCCAACACCTCTCAACGACAACCGCACATCCTGACAGTGTGGAGAGGCGACGGGAGGATGCTCTCTCCACGGCTTACAAGATGGACTTCGCGGGCTCTTTTGACCCGAGCTAGGGTACCGCTCGCTCGTCCTGCCATCTCCCAAGTCCAGGTGCGCCATCGGCTGTGCTCGTCTTGCGCCAGCGCGAACCCCGTCCCCACGAAGCCAGCAGCGCCCGACCATCGCGATCTCGGAACACAACAGGAGCTCTTCATGACCTCGATCTACAGCCCTGGATCGCCCATCTTCCTGCCCAATGGCGCCCGCATCTTCAACCGTCTTGTCGAATACCTCCGCAAGCAATACGTTCACTATGGCTTTCAGGAAGTCATTACCCCGACGATCTACAAGAAGGCGCTCTGGGCCAAGTCGGGCCATCTCGAAAACTACGCCGACGACATGTTCACCGTCACGAGCACATCTCCCTCGCGCGCCGATGTTACCGAGGCCGGCGAAGCCGACGAGTACGGACTCAAACCCATGAATTGCCCTGGCCATTGTCTGATATTCGCGGCGCAAAAACGGAGTTATCGCGACCTCCCTATTCGCTACGCCGACTTTAGCCCCCTCCACCGTAACGAAATTTCGGGCGCATTGAGTGGCCTTACCCGTGTTCGTAGATTCCACCAAGACGACGGCCATATTTTCTGTCGGCCGAATCAGATCGAGGACGAAATCAGCAAGACCCTTGAGTTCATCCGACGCGTATACAAGGACTTCCGCCTGGGGTCGTACCGTTTGAAGCTTTCCACGAGACCCGAAAACCATATCGGCAGTCTGGAGGATTGGGAGCACGCGGAAGGATCCCTGAAGCGAGCGTTGGATAATTCGGGAGAGCCATGGACCTTGAACGAGGGAGATGGTGCCTTTTACGGGCCGAAGATCGATGTAATCCTGAAGGACTCGGACGGAAAGGAACATCAGACGGCCACCATCCAGCTCGACTTCCAGCTGCCCAAGCGGTTCGAGCTTGAGTATCAGGCGCCAGCTCCTGAACTGGAGGCCAAAGGCGAGACAACGACGGACCCCGAGCTCCTTGCTGTCTCCGGACCCGTGAGGCCTGTTATGATCCACCGGGCTGTTCTAGGCTCGGCGGAGCGCATGTTCGCTTTGCTGATTGAGCACTATAATGGCAAATGGCCATTTTGGCTGAACCCCAGACAGGGCATTGTCCTCACAGTAAACGACAGTGAGCCGGTGTTACAGTTCGCGCGCAATACGCAGAAGGTGCTGCTGGGTACAGACTCTGCAGATGTTCACGTATCCCCGTCGGGCCTTGCTGTTGACCTCGATGACAGTGCGCGCAGTCTGTCGCTCAAGATTCGCGAGGCCAAGACCAAGGGTTACGGTATGATCATCGTGGTTGGCCCCAAGGATATTGCCAATGGAACTGTCACGGTTGATGCTACCGGCGGTCTTCAGACAGGCGACAAGCCGGCGCAGAAGAACCTCGTCATGGCGCCCGAGGAGCTGCTGCAATTCATGAAGACCAAGGTAGATGCATACGAATGAACGAATGCCTGCCGTTCTGCGTAAGCTACCACTTTGTCTCCGCGTCGTACGAGGTTTCCTACTTTGTCTCTTGGTGTTGCCAGTCGTGCAATCCGTCCAATATCTCAAAAATTGTGACTTGCTTGTTTGCTTTGTAGTGACGGTCAGGCAAGGCTGATCACAGCACGTTGAGCAAGTGCCGGCGATGACGCAGTGCCGCCGCTAGTGTACATGGGAAAGTGAAGTGGGGCCACTATTCCTTCCTCCAGCGGGCTTTTGTTACTCCCCCTGTCGTGCACCCCTTCCAGAGCTTCCTTCGGTTGACACAAGACGATCGCCGGGCACCTTCCAGTCCCCCCCCCCCCAGCACTTGAAGCAGCGCTAGGGAACAGCAGCCCTGAGCCCCTCCCCCACCGGCACCAACGGGACCGGGAGCTCTCCACCGCTGCCAGGGGCACCATACCCGTTCCAACTCCTATCCCATTACATTGCTACCTCTCCATACAACTTTTGGCAAAACATCGTGCTAGTTACTTTCCTATAATCCAAACAGATAACCAGCCATGGATCCTACTGCTCCTGAACCCGAGAACCCACCGGCTTACATCGCCGCAGCCCGCCGGCATGGAATACCGCTCCGGCAGAGCGCCCCCATCAAACGGGGCCCTATGCCCCTTCAGCTTCCCATCCTTGATCATCTACGTACCAAGAGGGTGATTTTGGCGTCGGCATCGCCTCGACGAAAAGCTCTCCTCAACCAGGTAAGCCATCCTCTTTATAGTACGGTCTACTCAGGTCTGACAAGTTTACCAAACAGCTTGGCTTGAACGACGTCGAAATCTTCCCATCAGACAAGCCCGAAGACGTCGAAAAGGGCAAGATTACTCCCGAAGAATATGTTGCCGAGACGGCCCGCCGCAAAATTCTGCACGTGTACGAGCAAGCCCTCAGGCAACAAGAAGAAGACGAGCAGAACAAAAACGTAGAGAAGCCTGCCGATCCAGCCCTTGTCATCTCCGCCGACACCGTCATCGCTACACGCTCCGGTCGGATCCTCGAGAAGCCGCGCGACGAGCAGGACCATATCCGCATGCTGAAACACCTTCGTGACACGCGTGTGCACCGTGTGCTGACGGCTGTGTGCGTGCTCGCCCCAAAGGACAACGCAGCCCATCCGGGATATGAGCTAGAGACGCACGTGGAAGACACTGAGGTTTACTTTGCGCAGGCCCGTGACGGACTGCCCGATGACGTAATTGAGGCGTACGTCAAGACGCGCGAGGGTGCGGATAAGGCTGGCGGCTATGCCATCCAGGGAATTGGAGGTATGGTGCTGATTGACAAGATTGAGGGTAGCGTGGACAATGTTGTTGGGTTGCCGGTTAGGAAAACCTTGCAGTTGGCAGAGAAGGTGATCTTCAAGCAGGGTATCGAAGATGACGATATTGGCAGCGATGAGGAGGACGATGACGAAGAACCCTATCAAGACTGATGCGGGGGTACCAACTGGTCGAAGCTGCCGATAAACACAGGGACGGGAGCCCTGACCACGGTAGTTCTACTAACTAATTGACCGGGGGTGATGGAATGAAGGGGCCAGGCGCCCATACAGAGCTTAGAACGTCAATATACGATAGACAAAAATAATGATTGGACTAGGATGCCCTTTCAGCAAGAAGTCAGTGAAGTGAAACTCAATTTCATCGCATATGTTGACTTATACATCGAGCCGTGGGTCTACAACCTCGAACCCTTCTCGCTCTCAAGATGCCCCTGAATGCCCTCAACCACACCCTCCGCCACACCCCAAGACAACTCATACCCTCTCCCTCCCAACCCATAGGCATGCATCACGAAACCAGCCCCATCTACCACCTCCCCTTCCAGCCTCAACCCTCCTTTTCTCGTCGGCCTCCTCCCCACGATATCCCTCACCGGCGTCAACCGCGTCTTCCCATCTGCCAATATCCTCGGATACGTCCCCTCAAACGCCCTCAACAACCTCTCCCTTACCTCCGGATCCGGCTTCGGATCCCAATTATCTGGCTCCTTGGTCCCGCCGATAATGGTGCCCGCCTTGAACCCTCTGGGTACACAAAACGTCCAGGTCCCATCCGCATTCTGTCTCGTCACCGTCGCATCGCACGGTTCCTGCACCAAGCACGTCTGTCCCCGCGTGGGAAAAACCATCTCGTCGTCACCTAATCCGATGCCGGTGGCGTTCACCACCGCGTCCGCTCGGGGGATCGTCGCTCCGAATTCTTGCACCGAGTCGGAGAATAACTGGAACACTTCCCCGACAGAACGCACGTCCCGCTTGAACACCTTCCCGCCCCTAGCAATGATCTGCCCCAAAAGGAACAAGCAGTATTGCATTGGGTTTACGCACCACGTGTCGTACTCGCAGCCCCATTGAACCTTGTCATCGGGGAACTCGTGTGACTGCAGCACGCGAAAGTGGCCGGGTAGTCCTAGCTCTTGTGACGCCGCCCGCTGGGCGGTCAGGGAGGTGTACTCGGGCCCGGGAGATTCGAGGTATTCGATTCCCTTGAGGAAGGTGATGCCCGCCTGTTGGTCCTGGCCCTGGCGCTGGAAAAGTTGCATGCGGCGGAAGGTGGAGAGGGAAAAGGCGTGTTCGCGGGTGCGGAGAGCGTGCTCGGCTTGTTGGGTGGGGGTTAAAGGAGTGGAGGAGGGTCCAGGGGCAGGGAAGGGGGGCACCCAGCGGTTGTGGGCGCCGCCCCACGGGGAGGTGAAGTTGATTTGGGATCGGGGATCGATGGATTCAAAGGGGGCGGGAAGGTCTTTGGCGAGGATGGTGGTGGTGAAGTTGGCTTCGAGGAGGGCGAGGGCGGAGGACAGGCCGATTACGCCGGCGCTTGGGATTTTGGGAGTCATGTTAGATTATTTATCCAGAGCAATCGATGATTTGCTATTCATGATGCATGTGTCATACTAACCCGATAACGACGACGTGCCCCTTGGGTTTGGACATGGTGATGCTAAATGATTCCCGTGGACTCGTGGTGTAGTACACTGCTGAATGTCTTTGGGCGAAGCTCACAATCAGAGGAGGCGGCGAGGTTCGAGTAAGAGAAGGTCTGAGGGAAAATGTCGTGGTGGTTGACAGCCTCAAATGCATCAGTGGATTGACTAATTCACACGACGATGCTTGAGTCTTGTAAGTCGTGAAGGTATTGCCGATATCAACAATACAAGGGTTCTTGGGGACCTTTTATACTATTCAGATACGTAAACGGTTGGTATCAACACAAGGCTCCGTCTTCGCAATCATCGCCAACGATAATCAACCGTGTCGCTCCTGGAACGATAACCAGCACACATATATGCAGAGCACGATTGGAATCAGGCACACGACGCCAAGAGGAGCTAGAAAACGTGGAATGACCCGACCATAAGGCAGACTCGGGAAGCATTCCGGAAAGGGAACGAATGTGGCGCGGCCAGCCAGCCGTCCATAGAGGTATGTACAGTTCGATACGGGTTTGTGTCTTAAGGTCGAGATCTCAGGTCAACTTCCCTGAGCGTTTTCATTTCTGGCCAATTCGTTGTAGTCTTCGATTAAGGTGAGGTTTGGTTGTGAATATGCTTTTCCCGAAAGTTTAGACACCGTTGTGGATCTTTAATGCCTTTCCGGTTCCTACCTAGCTACTCGTTCAATCATAAGGTATGGGACAAATCGAAATCAAAACTGATCTCGTCCAGTGTACCGAGGTAGGTACCAAGCTAACAAACAAACCGGCATTACCTGTAGATTGTATATAGTGGTAGTCTGACGGACAAAGTCCGGTCTAAGAGCGCGGCTGCCCCGTCCCGGCTCGAAGACCGCCCGGAATTCCCCACTTTGGGCCGAACTGTATCAAAGGATTGGCAGTTCTTCGAAAATTGACCCCGGAGGCCACTGGAAAGGGTTGCTATTTCTTTTGAACTTGTCCGAAAAAGAAGAGGGGGAGAGGGGAAAGGGGAAGCAATTATATCTGGAATGCGACAGGTAGACATCATTTATCTTCAAAGGAAAATCTGGAAGATACAAGACCTCAAGATCGTGCATCGCTCTTTTATACTAGGTCACCCGTCTGCAACTGTAATAGCAAAATGAGGGCTAAATCATGGCAACGCCTTTTGAACCCTTCAATCTTTTGGTCCAGTTTGTCTCCTAACATCCAACGTGAGTTCTCAATTTACTCTTCACCAAATTTCTTCTCACATGAACAAATGTTTAAACGGTTTGCGTCAGGCATCTAGTCTAGTATACGACATACATAAGGAGAAGCTCAGTCAGCAATTACATACCAAGCAGTTCATGCAACCAGCCAACTACATTCGCTTTGAGATCCAACAGAGTGGAAAATATTTGTAGAATGTCGCATCCAAGATCTTGCATTCAAATCAGTGTCAAAAACCCATCCCTCAAGACCGTACACTATGCCCATGCTGAGTGGATCTTCGTTCGCGAATTCCAAACACGACACCACGGAGATAGAGAATGGAAGGATGGTCAAGATATGTATAGAAGCATGTTTTTCTTCTTCTTCTTCTCCTTCTTCTATCCATCCATGCAAACGAATCGGTAGGTAGGTAACAACAGCACACCGCAACCCATGAAGAAGTTGTGCATGGTGCCCACGCACGACATCGCGAAACTAATAAATGTAACTGTATCCGGGAGTCACTCGTGCCGGTACTATAATAGAAATTCATGTGCTTGCCTCTTTGACTTGTGCGGGGAGTAAGGGCGCGGAAATATGTATGTGATTAGAAAAAAAAAAAAAAAAAAACAAGCCGGTTATGACTCGCAGGTGATATTCGTTCCCAGTAAAGAGCGACGCATCTCATCTGTCTCCGTGGATCTCCGTACCGGCGAAGGAGAACTAAATCCAGGACGGAATTAATCAAGCCGCGCATGGAGATCGAGTTAATCCATACTTGAGAATAGCCTTTAGGTTTATACAGAACCGGAGAAACCTAGTTGAACTTTTGTAAGAGTCCATCTCACCCTTGGAAATCAGCCCAGGAGTGTAGAAGCAACAAAAGGGGTTTTCTGTACAGACTGTGAGCTTATCCAGCCCTCGGCCGATGTAGAAGGGCTCATTATCCCACGAAACGGATATTCCTTGATTTGCACAACGCCGCTCGGAAATGAAAGTGGTCGTTATCACCGTACCCATTCGACAGCGATAACGCGGTTATTCCGTTCGTGGCGGCAAAGGCGGCCACCTGAAGCGACCTTGTCAACGCGGCGGCCGTTCCTATGGCCATCCTTTAGTACATTAGCTATAGGTAGCACAAGGTCAAAATTGCGCTTCAACGACCCTATCGGCAGCTGATAAGTCGTGATCGCAATCAGACAGCCGCCACATGTGTTGTCTGCGATGGCTGAATCGCGCCGAGGAGGTTTTGGGGCGGAGATTACTGAAAACTGAAATTTGACTCTGTTGAACAGCAACCAACCCAAGTGACATTGTCGGGTCACATACCCTCGGGACGGGAGCAAGTGGTATGATTTGTTGACACACTTGCATCTGTATACCAGAGCCTGGACCTGGTCTTCATCTTCTTAATCATCCTAACCGTAGATGAAGACACCATTAGTACCTTGCCGCATCATCCAAAGCATGACACTTTCACAGCAATCAATGACTGCCAGATGTAGTAAATGCCAAGACTTCCTACGAAAGAACTCAATTAGGATGACGGGAGGGACAGTAATGCAACTGCGCGTACGCAAAGAGTCAGAGCAGTGAAGAAAAGACCAAACTTTCTTGGCGGCATTGGAGAAGGTTGTCGATATGGAAACCACTTCCGCCATCCAGAGGACGGTACACACTCTTGCGAAATGTGATGTCGCTGCTCGCTCAAGTGCTGCTCGATGCGACTTTGACAAAGGGCGTCTAGATGCAGCGTGATCCGGTCGCTGATTGGCCACTCACCCCCAAGTCCGTCTCATCGGAGCCAGGGGTCCAAGAGGGTCTCACCACCCCAGCAACCCCAGGCAACTCCCCAGAATGGATCAGAACTGATCCTAGCAGCTATTTTGGGCGGCTATTCCTTCTATCTTTCACCTAGTTTCCCGCCGTACAGTTGCTTCCGACCACTCACAGCTCTCCTGTTTGCCCACCCAACGCAAGTGGAAGTTCAACAACCACTCCGACCACTGGTCTCTTCTCAGTCCACGGTGCCACCCCCCCCCNCCCCCGTCCGTTGGAGTCGTTGCCCACATCGAAAGCCAGGAACCAAGCGCTTAGAATACATGGCGATTGGAAGGATCTCACGCACTCGGAAGGGATGGGGCCAGCCAGGGCAGACCACACAGCAATGAGCTGCACCTCCTCGGCGCTGCTGCTCTTCCTCCACCCTGATCAGTGACCTTTTCTT